AAATGTAGCATGAAAACATGAACAGAAAACAGTAAGGCTCACCGGATTGAAAACATTCAGAGTGACTTTTGTAGGTTGAATGAACTCGTCCGGCGGGGAATCCCGTCCATTGAATGAGAAGACCGGCGACGATGGCGGAGACGGAGCCCGTCGTAGTGGCGGGGAGGGAGCCCTTCGAAGTGGCGGAGAAGGTTCTGGTAACCGTCTGGGCAGTGGAGAAGGCTCCTGACGTGTCGGCTGCGGTGAGCGTTCTTGTCGCAGATGACGCTGTTCTGGTAGGGGAGAGTTGGTGTTGATGTTTAGAGAAGGCCAACCTAAAAGGAATTTTCGACCTTCATGTAGCTATTATTACAGGGAATTCGCCTATGTGGTGAAATGCATTCATAAGAAAAAATAAAACCAGTGCGAGCTAAGGGCAGAAATGGTGCGCAGCCCATGGCTCAAGGCCAGGACATTGAATCCAAGTTATACGGGCCATCTCGCCGACTATCTTCGCTCTAAGGCTAGGCAGCACTTGTTAGAAGGCACGTCCGGCAAACCCTCGTGACTCCGGCTTCGTAAGTATGTAGGACCGTCCACACTAGGTCATATGGGCGGAGTTAGGCGTACCTCTAAGCCATCCTCATTGATGTGACCATCTTGTTTCTCACAGAAGGGAGGAGCCCACCAGTGAGGAAGGCAGAACAGGATGCACGACTCCGCCTATACGATTAGCGTGGATTGCGCGTTCTAGAATTCAGGGCGCGTCGTACGACGGGAATCTCTAGCGAGAGGGGTCGGTTTTTGCTCTTTGATGAGAAATTTTTTGGCTGTTGACTGTACCTGCTCCCCCCTTTCCTGGTGACATAAAATACCTCTCCCCCGGCCGCCCCGGTTGAAAGCAGCTTTTTTTGGAGGGGGAGGGAAGAATGGAGCTTCAAAAAAATCTCCGAAGAAGTAATAGGAACGTGGAAAATTCAGGAAGACGGACAGTAAGCTGGCGGAAGGAAGAGGTGGGAAGTTGGGGGGGGGGGGGGCGGTCCCGAGAGATCAATCCTTGTGATTTGATTTCCAAGCCTATCGATACGGCGTGATAGGTATTATCACAAACATGAAATAAGGTCGAATTATAAACGTTTACTGCAACGTTAAATGATAAAAAGCTAAAAAGTTTAAATGTAGTTCCACGCCGATCTTATGAGCAGAGTCTTGCGGATGCGTTCTCAGTGAGGGCGGACTTTAGAGGTACGAGGCACCCCTCTTCTTCATCGCCTCGGAAGGAAAGTGCACCAATTAGGAAACCATAGAAGTGCCCCTGACTCCGCCCATGCGACCAACGTGGAAAATGCTTTTACATCGCGCTGCTGGTATGAATGGCTTCTCTTCTAATATTCATAGCAGGGTGACATAAACGCAGCCGTTCCCAAATCATATAATTGAAGCATTAGTAAAACTAACTTGTTGCCAAATTCTCCTGACTGGTGCCTGGCGCAACTGCATGGAGTCTCGTTCCGCCAGGCGTTTCGATTTGTGGGAATTGTGACGGCACATACCATTGAGAGCCTGCAAACCATATCCGCATTAACTTCAACTCCATGAAAAAAACTAATCAATTAATTCAGTGAAAGAGCAGTAAACATCAAATTAAATCTTGAAAATGACCGAATTCCTAATTAGAACATACTGTCCAGGTAAGGAACAGCAAAAAGGGTGCGCCATGTAAGCAGTACAGCAAAAGGGGTTCCAAGATGCGCCATGTATATTCGCTTTTCAGACCGACTCAAGGTAACATTTGAAAGCATAACTGGCAAAGATATTCGAGGGCGAGGAGCTGCCGATTCCCCAACCAAAGCTAATAACTTGCGCCAAATTGACGCCAAATGGCGCCAGCGCTGAAAGCGAGTGTCATAATCGTGACCAGGGCACCAAATTACTCCTCTGGGCTAAGTTTCAGCAACTTTTTCAGTTTTTGGGGGAGTAGTAGTTCACTATGGCCCAAAAAATAGGTTACTACGGGTGGAGCGAATTGCCAGCTGCTATGGAGTTCGGTCAAAATAAATGTGATTTCAAGAAAGTGTAAAGGAAGACAGAATCAAGTGATCGAGGCCGTTTGGCCTCTGTGGGAAAGGAGCCACACTTATGGAAAAGTTGGGCTTGATGGGGACACCAAATGGCACTTACCGAAGCTTATACAGGCCACCTTCTGGAGGTCTGTGATTTCTTGTGAGCACAGCCTCACTTGCACCATTCTGCAACTTCTTAAAGACACATAGTACGCTCATACACATTGAGGGTGTATGAGACTATCAGCCCCCCAGATGTCGATGTGTCG